GGGCACATTAAATTGATCAAAAGTGTCAGTAAAAACATTTATAATGTTACAAAAGATTTATATTTCAAATAAATGCTGTTCTTTTGAACTGTCTATTCATATTCAACAATCATAGTTTCCACAATATTATTAAGCAGCAAAAATTGTTTTTAGCATTGATAATAAGAATTATTAACAATTGAATGGTGAATTGGATAGAATGATTTCTGAAGGATCAAGTGACACTGAAGACTGGAGTAATGATGCTGAAAATTCAGCTTTGCCATAACTGGAATAAATTCCATTTTTAAAACATATTCAAATAGAAAACAGTTGTTTTAAAGTGTACTTTGTTTTTGATCAAATAAATGTAGCCTTGGTGAGCATATAAGACGTAATAAAAAAAAACAACGTAATTTATTCAAAACGTTTCCGTTTGGGGCGGGCCTAACTGTTTGACCGACTAAAGCCCCGTTCACACCAAGAACGATAACTATAAAGATAACGATATTAGCGTCCACACCAGCGGACAATATCATCCGTTTATTCTAAGTGCACACTTGTCTGCCGCTTTAAATTCTCAAGCTTGTTACAGCAGGATGGATTCTGATTGGCTGTCAATTTTTTATCGTTCATCAGCTGGAGAAAAAACTTTTTGAAAGTGATTCCAACGATATCGTTTCTCTTTGTCTTTATCGTTATAGTTGTAGTGTGGACTCTGCTATTCTTTAATATTGAGAACGATTTTTAGAACTATATCTAACTTTATCGTTATCTTTATAGTTATCTTCCTTGGTGTGAACGGGCCTTAATAGACTATAGGGGTAGTGGTCGGGAAACCTGTCTGGAAACATTCATTATTTTTTGCAAATATAATCCTTTAAAAAATAAACAGCATTACTGATCCTTGAATTCCGTTCTTAATCATTTAAACTGATTTTTTGTTTCCTATCAGTAGTAGATTCTGTACAGGACAATGAGTCAACGGAAGAGCCAAGTTCAAATGAGGAAGAGGACGAGGACGAGGAGGCGGTTCTCTCTGTAAATGAGAATGAAGATGTTGAGGAAGATGAAGAAGACAGAGAGGAAGATGAGGACGATGAGCTGCAGGAGCAGTCTCCTCCAAGCGGCCACGGCAATCTCGCTTCTCATCTAAGCACGGAGGAAGGTATGCTCATTTTCACATAATGAAACTCAGATAAAATTATTAGATGATATTGCAGTATATGAATGCATTTTCTTGTTTCTGCAGACCCAGGTAAAATCGTCATCGCATCAGTGCCTCATTCAAACTCTTTTCTCAAAAAAGAACTGCCTAGAGTCCCTGATGGCCCCAGTCCTGTGGTTTTAAGAGGGCCTTTTACTAATCCCGTGGGGTCGCAGCATATAGGTAGCATACACCCGCTTTTGCCCCCTAGCTGTATAATAGAAGAACTGCACCGAGCATTGGCAGCAAAGCTCAGGCAGGACAGGTGAGGGTGTTAGACCTATTTTTATTGCTCAATTTCAAAAGGACTTTTTTTAAATTTAAGAAGTATTTTCTGTAACATTATTACTAATGTATCACATGTGCCTCATTCCTTTTCTTTCTTTAGCATTGAACGAGAGCCAAGTGGAGATGCTGAGAGCAGAAAGGAAGCAGAGGAAAACAAGGAAAATGTTCGACAGGACCAATGCTTTACTGATGCTTCAGGAATTATTTACGACGTTGACAGCTGGAACGAGTCTGTCATTTCTGGTGGGTTTATCACATAACTTTTAATACTTGTAACTTTTTTACACCTAAGGTGTCATTAGATAATGCAATTATTTGTTATAGCTAGAAGATCAGCTTGAATTTGTATGTTTGCCATGATATTGTTATTGTATCATTGTGTTTTTTCATGTTGCATAATAAAAGTAGCAAGAGAGATCTATCATTGGTCATTTTTGTCTGGAAATCTGGAGTACTTTAGGTTGCTCTGTCAGTAAGTTATGAATTATATGGCAAACGTGTGCAGGCACATTGTCAAGGAGGATGAGGAAGGAGCTGCTGGCTGTGAAGCTTCGGAATCGTCCCAGCAAACAGGAGCTGGAGGACAGGAACATTTTTCCTGCACGGACCGACCAGGAGAGACAGGAGATCCGTCAACAGATTGAAATGAAGCTTGCTAAGTAAGTCATAAATACATGTTGACTGTACTGTATATGTAAGTTTATCAAATATTACACTGCCCTCTTCAGGACTTTTTTTGGAAAAACATGAAAATGTCATCTTCAGGAGACTGCTTAATTATTTTTTTGCCAAACAAATCTGTTTTAATCAACTGTCAACCTTAATTCTAATATTCATTTAGCTACTCAATTTTATCCATTAATTACACAGGGAAGCTTAGCGCTTGAGCTGAGTCAAGTCAAGTCAAGTCAAGTCAAGTCAAGTTTATTTGTACAGCGCTTTTCACGATACAAATCATTGCAAAGCAACTTTACAGCAAATTAAGTTTCTACAATATTTAGTGGTAGCTTATCAGTGGTGACTGTCAATTAATGTACATATGGCAGAAATGTACGGAAAAATCAATTTAAGACGTAATAAAAAAGACGATGAACACTATTAACAGCAATTATAAAATAATTAAATGTGCAAAATAGCAAAATGTGGTAGTTCTGTATCTTGTTTCAGGGTTGGCATCATCTGAGGTCCTCTGAGGGGTTGGCATCATCTCTTCTCAGGTGTTCTAGATCCAGACTGAAGCTTGTGTAAATCGCTCAATGTCCTCAGTTACAGACAGCAAATCTGTTTACCTATATCACATAAGGATTATATGAACAACTGAACTTGTGAAACAGATTATGAAAACAGATTTCATGCAAAGGAAGTGTTAGTATGTGTACATTGGCTTGTAATCTGATGTAAAGTACATAGCAGAAACTGGGATTACAGTTGATTGAGGATTGGAGTTAATCTGAGTGAATAAATCCACTACAGCTTTCATTTGATTATATTTGATTACATCACCTGCCTTTGACTTCAGAAGTTCAATTCAGTACGTGGTGCACTGCTCATATTTGTGGCAGAGAAACTTCTACAGGCTGCAACAATTATACACTAATATGTTTTTGTTTTGCTTTGCTGTGTTGTTTTGCAGTTTATTGCTTTGAGTTTTCTTTTGTTTGTTTTGCTCTGCTGAATTGTGTTGTTTTGCTTTCTTTTATTTTTGCTTTGTGTTTTTTGTTAAACTTTGTTGTATTTTGTTTTGCTGTGCTTGGTTGTGTTGTGTTTTGTTGTTATTGGCTTTGTGTTTTGTTTTGCTTTGATTTTTGTTGTATTTTGTTTTTCATTTTATTTTGATCAGTTTTTTTTTTATTTAAAGGGGTCATATGATGCGATTTCAATTTTTCCTTTCTCTTTGGAGTGTTACAAGCTCTTGGTGCATAAAGAAGATCTGTAAAGTTGCAAAGACTAAAGTCTCAAATCCAAAGAGATATTCTTTATAAAAGTTAAGAATAATGTTATTTTTAGCAACATCATATGACCCCTTTAAATTTGCTTTGTTGTGTTTGCTTGTGTTTCTTGTAGTTTGGTTTTGCTTTGCATTGTTTGTTTTGTTTTGTTTTGCTTTGTTGTGTTATGTTGTTTGCTCTTTGGTTTTGCAGAGTTGTTGTTTGGTTTAGCTTTGAATTTGTTTTGTTTTACTTTGTGTTTTGTGGTTTGTTTTGCTTTGCTGTTTGGTTTTGCTTTGCATTGTTTGATTTGATTTGCTTTGCTTTGTTGTGTTTTTGTTTGGTTTTGCTTTGCTTTGCATTGTTTGTTTTGCTTTGCTGTGTTGTGCTGTCAGGTTTTGTTACATTTTGTTTGTTTTGTGGTTTGTTTTGCTGTGTTGTGTTTTGCTTTGTGTTGTTTTTTTTTATTATACATATTTACATTTTCAGTATGGCATTTCAAATCTCAGCCGTTAGATCCTCAGCAAACATAAACTGTGACATCTACTACTTCAACCTTCTGATAGAAGCAATGTAGTGTCTGATCTTTACAACTAGGTGTAAGGGAAGAACAGCTGAGGAAGGCCAGCAGTGCCTCGTGCAATTACAGATCTTGTCAGGATAAGTCTTATGTAATCAGCTGTGGTATTTGTCACCTTTGAGAACAGCCCTTTTAGAAGAAACGCTGATTATGTCTAGGTTAATTCAGGCTATAAGAGAGCTTTGCTCAGGCCGCAATGACAGACACAAGGTGCTAAAATGTTATGAGCAACGATGGTAAGTGGCCATCCTAAGTTATGTAATGTGAGAACCATAAGTTGTTTGTAACATGATGTAATTCAGATAAGGATTTGAGGAGAAAGCAGACACTGTGTTGACGCAGGTGTTTACATTAGATTAACTTCAGGCACAGCAACACATTCTACAGATTCAGACATATGATGCACACTGAATAAATTACTTTTAAATGTGAAAGAGTTCTGGATGCTTAATAAGTCATAGACTATTTGCATTCAGGGACCTAATAAACCAAAATAATTGTTGTACTTTTAAGGATTTTGGAGTCACATGTGAATAACTGGATGTGTTAGATGCTTAGCACATATTTCCCATGAGAGTAAGGTCCTGTTAGAACGTCTTAATTGGAATCATAGGGTTCACCGAGTGTTATAATCTTTAAATTGTTACATTTAGAGTTGGAAGTTTGGTTTAATTTGGCAAAGCTGAAAATGCAGCCAGGTGCCTAGTGCCTGGTTTTCCCTAGAAACAATGTTGATTATTTTAAATAACACACAGAATTTATAAAGTATATTGATATTAAATCTGTATTGATTTGTCAAAATCCCATTTTAATTTGAAGATATCCCTTGTAAAAAAAAAGGGGGGGTGCTTAATATAGTACTTATAGTGCTTATAATTGTTATAAAAAATTCCATTCATTTTCTTCATGAGGGAAATCAATTTTTAACATCAAATTTTATCATTTCCAAATCATTTAAACTTCAAAGACAAAACCTGATAATCAATTGTTGAACCCATCTCTTTGGATTAATTGAACTTATTTTTAAAATAATCATTTTTAAAAGTGGAATTTGTGGTGAAAATCTACCATTATCCATGATGATGTATATGCTGTGTTAAATTCCAACAATCACAGTCGCAGCGAGCAAATCGTGCTAAAAGAGATGTTTAGCTCTGTGCATTCCTATGAGCAACACAAATAACATAATTGAGTCAGTCTCCGTACACTCTCAAAATGCTTAAATATTTGTATATATATATATATATATATATATATATGCATATGTTGCAATAAACTTAAAATATATTTTTGTTGAATATTATTATTATTAATATTATAATTCTAATAATATAGTTTTATATTAAGTCAATTAATGTAATTCGCAGTGCTTTATGGGATTGTAGTTCTTTCCCTTACTAAAGCCGTTACACAGTCTTGTACATCTGTCTTTTTGTCCAATGTTCAAATACTTTTGTGCTTTTAATAAAAGTTTGCTGAGATTCTCCTTAGCTGGTTGGTTTAGTTCATGACTTATAATGCTTTAAAGGGGTCATATGATGTTGCTAAAAAGAACATTATTTTGTGTATTTGGTGTAATGAAATGTGTTTATGCGGTTTAAGGTTAAAAAAAAAACATTATTTTCCATTTTTAAAAATCCCTATGGAAAAATGAATGGAAAAAAATACTTCCAGAACCAGAAGCACTACTGCACTCTGTTGTATTAAATGTGTAAATCTTAAAACTGTAATTGCATATAAAATAATATTAATAAAATAAAAGCTCACTTAAAGAGAGTTCACTTTCACCAACACACTTAAGTACACTTTTAAAAAGTGCATGTCAAAACAGTTTTGCTTTAAATATATATTTTAAATCATGTTTTAATAATATTTTGTCATGCTTTAAAGAAGTACACTTATTTAGATGTGTTGACTAACATATTAAAGCACATGTAAAACACCGGATCATAATTTGAACTGAAGTGTATATAATGGTATTTGTAATATATTTTAAATGTACTAAATTGCAACATTTTTAATTTATAATATATTTTAATGCATAGCATGCAAGTTTTATTAGAACTGACATAAATTAATCTTGTCAGTAAATATACATGCACTTTAACTATATTTCAAAGACAATATACATAATTATGAAATCATATTTAAAGATGCACTTAAATCCTACAAATGGTTCAAAAAGCACTCTTTGAATTTAACATAAATGTATAGTATAATACATATTCATTTAATTGCAGTTAGCATGCAATTAAGTATCAGAAATCATGACATTGAGTTGCACTTTTAAAGTATATTATTTCCACAGCATGTACTCTTTTTAAAGCCTTCAGCGCAATACTTTATTTTAGCCATTTTGTAATTGACAATATCAACCAGAATGGAGGCAGGAAAAATGAGAAGGATCAGGTCACGTCAGGTCAGCCGAGAAGGACAGTTGTTTCAGATGTAGAGCATGTTATTAGAGCATCTTGATGTAGTCTTATAAAGATATTTTCTGTTCTTATGATTAACACGCACTGATAAATACTTCACAATAATCCCAGAAACATGTACAGTATTAAGACAGTGAGTTCAGGTTCAGGTCTGACAGTGATAGTCAGCGTAAATGGGTGCCGTCCACTTGATCTAGGCCAGCGGTGAAGTGTGACGGTCAATGCACCTGCAGTACAAGTTGAAGTCTGAGCTAAACACACAGTGACACTTTGCTGCAGCAGCATGTCATGACCTTCCTATCTTTGGCTTGCCGTGCCCTACTCCACCACCGAAGAAAGACACGGCTGGAGCTATTTTTAGAGCTCAGACTGGTGAATAATGGATGCTAGTGCATGTTCCCCTCCTCCATCTCTACCTCCACCCTGCACGCCATAGCGAATACCAAATACGGCCGTACTTTACTGTAGCGCTCATAGCAGCTTCTCCTAATTGATGGAAAGATGTTTGGATAAAGTGCACTGCCATCCGTCCGTTAATTAAACCGGTCTGATTAATGACCGGTGCATAATGCAGACCAATGGCACGAGCTTCCAGCGTTGCTCGGGTAAATTTCTTTGTTTCAGTATTCACGGGGAAGCTACTGTTGCTAGGCAACTCGTGATACAGGTCAATAATATCCAGACAGCTTCCAAAGGGGCTTTGGGAGTAGTTCTCCATTTCAGTTCATGAAATATTAACGTCGCCACATCTGCTGGAATCCCGACTTACTCAGCTAATATGAGTGACAGCAGCGTTGCAACGGCTGGAATGCTACATAATGTTGTTAAATGCCTTATAATTAATCAGATCTCAATATATAGCTTTGCATAGCAAAGTATTTCAAATAAATAGTGCATTTGGAAGAAGCCGTACAGCAATTTTCCATGAGACGACATGCAATTTTAACAGCATTTTGTACAGTCTAATGCAAATCAGTCATTCCAGTTATATATGTGACCCTGGACCACAAAACCAGTCATAAGTAGCACGGGTATTTTTGTAGCCAACAATATATTGTATGGGTCAAAATTATCGATTTTTCTTTTATGCCAAAAATCATTAGGATATTAAGTAAAGATCATGTTCCATGAAGATATTTAGTAAATTTCCTACTGTAAATATATCAAAACTTAATTTTTGATTAGTAATATGCATTGCTAAGAACTTCATTTGGACAACTTTAACGGTGATTTTCTCAATATTTCGATTTTTTTTGCACCCTCAGATTCCAGATTTTCAAATAGTTGTATCTCAGCCAAATATTGTCCTATCATAACAAACCATACATCAATGGAAAGCTTATTTATTCAGCTTTCAGAATGGACCCTTATGACGTTTTGTGGTCTATGGTCACATATTATATATTATAAAATACCAAAATTTCCTTAAATTACACACAAACTTTACTTATTTATTTAAATATAGCATACCATTACATACACACAATATGCTCTGGTTTGAAGCGTTGATATTATTTTACTAATATTTTATATCAAACAGAATACTGTTTTAGTGAGACAAAGCAATAGTTGTAATTATAATCTGTAATAAATATAATAATTGCTAAGTTATTTATTAAAAATTATAATGAAGTAATGACACAAAAACATCACAATTAATAAAATTCACTTATTATAATTTGTGCCATTGCTTTCCAACAAAATTAAGTCTCTTCCTGGAAGATTGGCTTTTACTGGCTTTTAATTAGGGATATTAAAAAGATTAAGAGGATAAAAAGTAAGATTGGTGACAGGGAAAATAAAGTGTAAATTGATTGCCAATTAAAACAATATTCCCAGTGAATCATTTTGGTTAGAGAAAGGGAAAAACAAACACCTGGAATATTACATTAAAATGTTTTTAATCATTTAAATTTAAATTGAATTGTCAGAATTGAATGTGTATCACATGGCAACATCCACTCAAACCAAAGTATAATTTTTTTTTAAATATCCCCCATGTTCACCTAATTGTGAAATGTGATCGAATAAAACTCACTATAGGATTTCTGCCTATAAAAAGTGAGTTTAATATTTAATAGAATATATTAAGACATGGGCTACTGCTAGGAGTCACCTAGTTTCTTTGATCTACACTTTCTAAATGTTATTTGCCATCATATTATATTCAAATAAGTGATTCTCAAACAATAAAAAGACTCACTTAATTAGTGCGCTACTACAAAGGCGAGACAGAGCGCATGACAAAGAGCGCGTGGAGCAGCGCTCACTCAGCGCGCGCCTGCCTGTTCAAAAAAACCACAACAAGCCGCACGAGTTCATATGCACCGAGCGCACTCTCACTTCAGCGCCGCATCTTAATAGCTGGTGTTTATTTAGCTAAGGTGCTCAAAACCCGGGCGTTTTGCATTCAGATGCGGAGTAATAGCGGTCAGGCTGAACACAAAGGACCGAGAGACTTCGAGCGTCCCCTCAGGATCTCACTGAGCCGCTTCAGCGCGGGACAGACAGCATGGTTCAAAACATTATTCTCATCTTTCTCCGCAGGAGACTCAGTCAACGGCCGGCCGTTGAAGAGCTGGAGTGCAGAAATATTTTGAAACGTGAGTATTAGGCTACGCGATAAAAATGATCAACATCCACAGAAATGTAAATAATGTATGTATGTATGTAGGCATGTATCAACAATTGTTGTTTGTGAGTATAATAATAAACATTATGTTATTAATGAATATTGTTTATAGTATTGCACAGTAATAATATCACTATTGCTACTACATTGTAATAATAATTGTATTTGTTAAATAGATATATTTTATTATTATTGTTGTATTATATGTACATCAATAATAATAATAATAATACAATAATATAATAGTACAATATATAATACAAATAGTATTCTATTTTAATATTTTATAAATATATTTAAAAATATTTATAAAATATATGATTTTTAAATACATTTATACAAAATATAAAAAAGAACAATAAATACAAATATTAAATATCATATTTTTTATTAGCATTTAATAATTAAATCAGTACTAAATTGCTACTTGGTTGTATTGATCTTTATATTTGGTAAATAATGAAATTATATTTTTATATTATATATGTGTATTATTAATAACATGAATAATTGAAATATTAAGTAATTTTGAATATTGTTTCTGATATTGCACAGTAATAATATCACTTTTGCTACTTCATTGTAATAACATTTATATTTGTAAATAAATAAACAAATAATATATATACATATATAATTTAAATCTTAAGTAATTTTATAAGTGAAAAAACAAGTGTTTTTTATCATATCTTTAATCAGCACTTAAATTAAATGTTTTATTAATAATAGTTATATATTTAAAAATGTTTTAATCTATATATACGGATATATATAATCATCATAATAATAAATAGAATATTAAATAATTTACTCAGTGAGAAAAAAAATAGTTTTTTTTTTATCACATCTTTAATTGGACCTTAAATTAAGTGTTTTATTAATTAAACGTTTTTGGTGGCTGTTAAGGTGAAAATGTGATCAATTATTTCAGTCAAAATTCTTAAATGTGTTAACATGCTTTTTGAGGTCTGTTGAGTGACCCTGTGACTGATCTCTTTGGCTCTTTCAGAGAGGAACGATCAGACGGAGCAGGAGGAAAGACGAGAGATCAAACAGAGACTGAACAGAAAGGTAAACAAGCTCTCTTCAGGTTCATTTCACTCGCAGCATGCTTTATTTTTCTAATTTATGTGTATAAATGGTGGTCACTGAATGTAAGGTAGTTGTTGGTCTGTAAAATGACACTTTTGACTGCTGCTGCTAACATTACTACTTGCAATAAGACATTATAAAACACTGTCTAGAGCTGAATAAAGACGCTTTCAGAAGGGTAAAGCAATTTTGTGGAATAATAATGTTCAGAATGAGCTGCATCAGATTGAGGGAACCTCTGTTAAAGTACACTATTAAAAGATGAGCCCATATCACTGACGTGCCAGAAACGAACGCAGGACCTCAATGCTTGGGATATTTAACAGCATGTCTGCAATGACCAATAATAATACTTATTATATTTTGGAGTCATAGTTTTTTGGCTCTTTTTTCCCCAGTGTACAATTAATCACATTATTTAAAAAAAATGTATACACCTAGCATTTGTCATTATGACTTGCTTACATTATTTTATGGTAACATAAAAAGCAATTTATCTTAAAATGGTGGTGTGATATATAGGGAAAAAAGGCCTAAAGGAAAATATGCATCTAAAGAATGTATTAAATATTCATTATTATTATATTTGGAGTCATATTGTATTTTTTTTTTTTGCTTTTTTTTTCCCCAATGTGCAATTAATTGCAGACAAAATTAAACATTATTGTTGTTATTATTATTAGTCAATGACGATGATAATGACAGCAACAACATTAATAATAAATAATAAAACAACAATAACAACAGCAGCAATGATAATAATTATTATTATTATATTTTGGAGTCATATAGTTTTATTGGCGTATTTTTCAGTGTGCGATTAATTACGAATTAATTACATCTGATTAATACACTTAGCATGAATCACTATGGTTTGTCTACATAAATTTTTTTTTTTTTGTGTGAAAAAAAATCAGCAATTTACCTCAAAACGGTGGTGTGACATGTAGAGTAAAATTAACATCTAAATAATAAAATTTAATGATTTATTTTTATTATTATTATTATGTTTTGGAATCATATTGGGGTTTTTTTGGCACATTTTTTCAGTGTGCTTTAAAATTACACATTCTTGCTGTTTTTTTGTTAATGATGATGCTAAAAACAACAATAATAATAATAAAACAATAGAACAATGACAACAATATCCTATATCCTTTTTTTGGCATATTTTTATAATTAATATATATATATATATATATATATATAAAATTGTATAACATTATTATTATTATATAACATATAATTAATTTCATGTCATTTACTTTTGATTAATACACTTACCATGAACCATTAAGGCTTGCCTACATTATGGTTAAAAAAAAAAAAGAAGAAGAAAGAAAAATCAGCAGTTTACCTCAAAACAACAGTGTGATATAAAGAGCAATATAAACATAAAATGAAATTGAGTATGATGATAAAAAAGCATGTTAAGGATGGTCTTTAGGCATACTGTCCCTGTCACCAGAAGAACCAGTCGATCTCATTGGTCAACAGCGATTCCAGTCCTATTCTAGTCCTAAAATGCATTACTTGCAACATTAGACCTGTATCTCATAACCTTTGCAGCCCCGCTAACAGCATCGTTTTGTTCCTCTCACAGCTCAACCAGAGACCGACAGTCGATGAACTAAGAGAAAGAAAGATTCTGATCCGCTTCAGTGACTACGTGGAGGTGGCCAAAGCCCAGGACTACGACAGGAGAGCTGACAAACCCTGGACAAGACTGTCTGCAGCTGACAAGGTACGAGACCAAGAGCTGACCTCAGCAAATCTTTACACCACATCTGTGGTCAGTCTTTCATTCAGTAAGAGCACACAGAGGCAAATGGGCTTTCCTTTATTCTCAGTGGTTCTCTCAAGGTTTCTAAACCCACTATATTAGTGAAGCAACTAAAAAGCAATCTAATTTGTGTCAGTAGTCTGCTTGCTCACCCCACATGACTCGGTCGACTCATTATGGAGTGCACATGTCACTTGAGGATGCGTTTAAGTGGCTTTTATTTGCGATTCCACAGGCGGCCATCCGTAAAGAGCTAAACGAGTTCAAAAGCACCGAGATGGAGGTCCATGTTTCGAGCAAACACCTAACGAGGTCAGTATGCGAGTATGCGCCTGCGCTATTTTTAGATCCACAAAATAAAAAATGACGGACACAAATACGTTTGCGTATAAAAATCATGAACGTGTCACCTTGACACGAGTGGTTTTGGATAACAGGTTCCTCACGACATTATCATGACATTAGTGGCCATTAGAGCTCTCATGTATGATCTTACTAAAAATAACTGATTGATGCAACAGTGTCATCCAAGCATATGGTGGTTGTGATTGCGAAAGGCACCTTTGTTGAGTTCTCCCCTCTTGATCAGGTTTCACAGGCCCTAAGAGGGGGTTTTCTTCTGTGAAGAAAATGCTGAAAGCGGCGTTCGTTAAAATCCTGGAGGTGCCTCTTTCAGAGCCGTGGCTTCATCCATGGGATTCCCATATTCTTCCAGCGCCCTGGGCCGAGTGGTGTTTGGGTGCGGTTAGCTCCACCGCAGGCGGCCACAGGAGAAACCTGAAGAACATCTGCAGATACATTTAACCTGAGGCTGACAGAGTGGAGCGGCAGAGGACTGTTTGATGTTTTTAGAACTGGACTGCATTTCAGTGACTGCTAAGAAAAGACGAATCAGTTCTGGGTAAATGTTTGTGTACATGTAACCAGCTCCACTCTGAAAAAACAAGTAAAAAAAAAAAAAAAAAACTTGAGGGTTAATAAGCCTGCTATAAATGAATTTCATATTTACTGTACAAAAGTCTGTTTGAACAGGGTTGTTCATGTCATCACTTGAAAAAAAAAAAAACTTTGTAAGCACTACTTGTCTTCAAAATACAATTTTGGAAATACTTCTGTGTTGTTGTTTTTTAAGTTTGATTATATACACACACACTACAGTTCAAAAGTATAGGGCTTTTAATGTTTTTGAAAAGTCTCTTATGCTCACTAAGGCTGCATTTAGTTTATCAAAAATAAAGTAAAATCAGTAATATTGTGAAATAAAGCTGAATTTTCAGCATCATTACTAAAGTCTTCAGTCACATGATCCTTCAGAAATCATTCTAATATGATGATTTGCTGCTCAAGAATCAATGTTGAAAACAGTTTTTTGTGGGAACTGATATATTTTATCAGCATTCGCTGATGAACAGAATGTTCAAAAGAACAGCATTTATTTGAAATGAAATTATGATAAATTACATTGACTTTAGTTTCACTTTTGATCAATTCAATGCATCCTTGCGGTTTTCTTTTTTTTAAGAACTAATATTAATTCCTTAAAGGGGTCATATGATGCGATTTCAAGTTTTCCTTTCTCTTAAAATACTGACCCCAAACTTTTGAATAATAGTGTGTGTGTATTAATAGATAACACTGCAGGACATCTGTCTCACTATCTCAGCCATGAAACCAGAAGTAAATTGTGTGAGTTTCCTCCTCCCATCTATTTCGCCTGTTCCATTTACAGAGGACACTAATTAAATAACAAAAATGCATCAAGTCACTCAATCTGATCTTAATCTTTGAGAGCCTTCAACTGCAAGTAAAAATGATAAAAAATAACCCTTTTAGTAATTTTTTCTCTTTATTTTTCAACATCTCCCATCAATTGAACCCATGAGGTTAGCTTATTCAGGCCCTTGCTAGTGTAAATGCAAAAAATGGTTTCAGAATGTAGTATCCCTTTTTAATTTCTGCGCACATGCATCTAAAGTTGATTTTTATGAGGTGGGATGTTAGAAATAAATGCATTTGTTCTTACATTACCTATAACATTTACTTATTTGCTTTTCACAACTATTCATTATTTATATTAAAAACCACAAGCAAATATGTGCGCTAAAACTATGTACAGCCAACCATTGTTTCAAGGAGACCAGAATAAATGGCATAAAGTACAAATATTCAACCTTTTGAGTAATGCTATTTTAAAAGAACATAACATTAATAATATCTAAGCATATAAACAGGTTTTAGGAATAGTTTAAAGTAATTTTCAAACGGTAGATTTTTTTCCCTCAAGTCAGAACCTCGATGCATCAGGGAAGAACAAGGATTGCAGTCCTCTTCGCACACTCGTCAACTCTTCCTCGTGCTACAAAGACAAAAATACTTGAATTCAATCCTGCAGAATTGTGTGATATCAAGTATTAAATATCAGTTCTGTTTGGGCTCTCACTATTTCTTTGAAGAAACGCTCCTGAAGTGACTTCATGCTCTTCTTCATCAAAGACATCTGAAACAAAAGCAAAAAAAAATAAAAAAAATAATATTCTAGACAATCAAAGGTTAAAATGGCTTGAACTGTAAGTATAACTACTGAACCATGATGGACTCAAAAAAGGTTCAGTTCCTCACCTCCACGGAGAAGACTTGTTTCTCATACTCTAGACTATCACACACGTCAGTCTGAATGGTGCTTTTCAACTGCTGTAATCTGAGACAACAAGAATGAGCAAGACAAGCACTTACATGACAAATCCAGTGTACAAACAGCAAATACAGAGGGAACTATTAAAAGCACTCAATCACTCACTTTGTTTGAATCTAGAGAAATAGACAAATTCTTTGAAACATGCCTTACAATGCATGCAAACACTGTTGAGTAGCTTTCTTGCAAAACATTTGTTGTGTGCATGTAAACACTAAATGTTCAATTTACACTGACTTTTTTTTTTTAATATGCAACCCTCAGTGCACTAAAAAATTTACCTGTCTAAAATCTTGTCTTTGAGCTGCCCTTTTTTAAAGAAATCACAACAGTCTTGGCATAATTGCATTACAGAGTGAACAAATAATCAGCATTACATAATTCTTGCTGTTTTTCCCCATGTTGCTACGAACGCATGGAAAATCCTGTTTGTTACTGCGACCCAGAACAACCCACAGACTAGTCATAAACAGGTCTTGTAGACATGATTACATATGCGAACAGAACAGTTATGAAGGGAAGATTAGTTCCATTTACATTAGAGCTGGGAAATCTAAGGCATTCATCTCATGTTCATGCAGCTGTTATATTCTCACCTCTTGGTTCCTTTCTCTTGGTAAGCGTGGAAGGCCAAGGTCTGCTTCTCCCAGTAAGTCTGTACATATAGTGTGATTGAATCAAAGGCCATTTATATATATACATTTTACACATTTACTTGCCAAAGTGCGTTTGCAATTATAGACACTTGGCAAATCATAACACTCGTTACCGTCAATTCCTCTTCCATGCTTCCCAAAACAATGTCATCTTGCTCCAGGTTTGCTATTTCGCTCAACAGGACTTGTTTAACTTTCTCCAGCCTCTGAGTACTATAGATTAGGCAAGATAAAGAAAGCGGTAGAGGTAAATATCAGATGTGTTACCGGGCAGAAACTCTGACCTCTTTAGGGTCAAGGGTCATGTCTGACCTGTACTGGTGCACTTGGACGCTGACAGATGACATGTGCTGCCCTAAGGTCTTCAAAGTCTGCCTGGTGTAAAGATCCATTGTCCTGCATCGATTCTGACAAATGCACAAGACAAGTTATTAGAAAATGCTAATACACACTCACTAAATTCCATAGGATGTGCAGCGGGTTTTCCATGCAAGGATGTGAATCCTCAAATAAGAGCTGGCGTGTTTAGCCAGAGCTGATTTAGTGAGAAAAGTGAGATGACAAGCACCTTGATCTTCCTCTTAAGCTCTGAGCTGAACTGATGGCAGATAAAGCCCACCTGCTGAGCAGGCTGGGTCAGGTCTATGTCTGCCTCCACACTGGCATGCCTGCAGCTGGACCTTGTACAAGATGACAGTGTCTCCACTTCCTCAGCTGGAGGGAACACACATAGACATACCCATGAGTCACTCATCAGCACTTTCAAAAGCACACACACCTGTACAGTAAGTGCACTTAGAGGTACAGTACAACTGAGCTTCTGAATTATTCAATTTTTTTATATTTACAACCATTCAAAAATGTGGGGTCAGTGGGATTTTTTTAATTGTAAGAAATACTTTTATTCACCAAGAATGCATTAAAGGGTTAGTTCACCCAAAAATGAAAATTCTGCCATTAATTTCTCACCCTCATGCCGTTACAAACCCATAAGACCTTCATTCATCTTCAGAACACAAATTAAAATATTTTTGATGAAATCTGAGAGCTTTCTGACCCTGCATAAACAGCAACGCAACTGACACGTTAAGAGGCCCAGAAAGGTAGTAAAGACATCATTAAAATCGTCCATGTGACATCAGTGGTTCAGCTGTAATTTTATGAAGCTACGAGAATACTATTTGTGCACGAAGAAAACAAAAATAACAACTATTTTAACAATTTCTTCTCTTCCGTGTCAGTCTCCACCGCCATTCACAAGAGATCTACGATGCATACGTGTGCATTCAGTTTACGGTTGAACCACCGATGTCACATGGACTATTTTAACAATGTCTTTACTACATTTCTGGGCCTTAAAATGTTTCAGTAGCATTGCTGTCTATGCAGGGTCAGAAAGCTCTCAGATTTCATCAAAATATCTTTATTTGTGTGCTGAGGATGAATGAAGGTCTTACGGGTTTGGCACGCTTGAAGGTGAGTAAATAATGACAGAATTTTCTTTTTTGGGCGAACTATCCCTTTAAACTGATCAGAAGTGACAGAATGTTGAATGTTAAATGTAAAAAAAAAAATATATATATATGGTTTTCACAAAAATGTTAGGCAGCACAACTGTTTTCAACACTGATAATAAGAAATGTTTTTTGAGCACCAAATCAGCGTATTAGAATGAAAAAATACTGTTTTTACTGTTTTTGATCAAATTGGTGAGCATAACATTAAAAAGCCTCACCGACCCCGAAACATTTAAATGACATCAATAGCAAATTCTTAGCCTTATTTTGTGCCCAGAAACAGTTTCTCTCTTTCAAGTCTTATTACTGGATATTGTTGTTTCCTTGGCCCTTTTATTTAGGCCTCTCTGGTAACTTCTCTTTCTTCTCCCGTTCTCTGTGACTATGTCCTCCTCTTCTTCCTCTGAGCTGCTCTGATCCTTCACCAGCGGTTTAGTATTGGGGCCTGAAGCACAGCAACACAACATCACTCACAGAATCAAATGCAATCTGAGCTAATTTCTTAATCAGGAAAACAAGATTTTCCAAGAAGAATCAAAAATAACAGTGTCTGACGAGTCGAGGACTGGGATTAATCTGTGTCCGAGAAACTGAGATGCACATCCAGTAAAACTGTCTGCAAAATCTAAATATTCAGTAATGTGCTATGTATATATAGAGACCTACCCTGATTATGTCATGTTATAAAGCATCAAATGATAAATCACATTTACACTTTTTGAGTTAATCAAAGTTTTTGAACTCAACAAGGTTGTTTGGTTTCTATTTTTGCTGCATCATGCTTGGTTGCTCCGCCCACAGTGAAATCTTATTGGTCCTGAATCTAGCTTTTCATGGCTGTATATTAAACATCAAATATGTTCTGATTGGCTGGTATTACCACAAGGAAAAAATACTTTATGCTGGTAACTTGCCACGCCATGCCTAGTTAGGATGATGCATAATCTTTTTTAAAAGGTGATAAAAACCCTTACTAGGAGTGAAGGATTTATTAGTAGGCACAAACAGCGTTCTAGGCTTCATTTTCAGAGCTAGCTGCGAGGGAGAAGGAGCCTTATTCTCTTTGTCCTCCTCACTGTCCTCATCTCTCTCTGAAAGACTAGCGGAGTGGCTCAGGGTGAGATGCTTGTGGATGGCTGTTGGACCTGATTGGCAATTGGTACAAAAAAGATGCTTATTTTTGTATACTAACAAATAACATAAAAAAACACAACATAATTAAAAAAATCTCTTCACCTGACTTAAATTCTAGTCTCTCAACCTTACTTCCTTTCTGGCTTGCTGGTGTTTTCTATAAGTCGTACAAGAATGAAGTGGTGTGTTACTGAAATGTAGTACTATGAAAAGTGAAACTGTGCTCTGAAATAAACTGTTAAAGCTGTACCTCTAGCTCAGTGCACATCAGGGCCATGTTGCTCACAGATATGTGAGAGGATTGGCTCATTGTCACAGAGATGACAGACCTCCTTTCAAACGATGTTGGGCTGGTTTTGTTCATGACACCTCTCTGCTCCTCCTGGAGGTCTGGAGGGATGCGTGGGGAGGGCTGGGTGTAATCCTCCAGGGTAAGGAATGAGTGGACTGGACTCAGCTCAACCTGCGGGAGTTATGCATTACATAAACGTATTAATCTTTAGATCAGAGAGGCAATGACAAATACAACATGTTTATGCTAAAATAAAGACTGAATAAGACAATCAAATCACAATGTGGCCCCAAAAAACATCTGGAAACTTAAGCCACACTTAGAATGTATTCATGTAATTGTATTACACTGTAAAATATCAACCCAAGTGGCATTCCTTTTAAATAAAGACAGAAGGATAGCACAAGCACACTTAAAAAACATTTCACAAAAATAAATGTTAAGGTTATAAAACAAATATAAATGAATGGCTTTATACACTGTTCAAAAGTTTGAGGTCAGTCAGATGTTTAATGTTTGTGAAAGAAGTTTCTTATGCTTTCAAATGCTGCATTCATTTGATAAAAAAATCAGTAAATAAATATCAGTAATATTGTGAAATATTATTACAATTATTTGTGTCTGAATTTTCAGCATCATTACTCCAGTCTTCAGTGTCACACGATCCTTCAGAAATCATTCTAATATGCTGATGTGCTGCTCAAGAAACATTTCTGATTATTAGTTATCAGGAATGTGTAATATATTTTTCACGACTCTTTAATGCATACAAAGCTCAAAAGAGCAGCATTTATTTGAAATAGATATATTTTGCTATTATAAATGTATTTACTGTCACTTTTGATACATTTTTATGCATACTTAATAATACTTAATAAAAGTATTAAAACCTAATCCCAAACTTTTGAACAGTAGTGAACATCAAAATAAAAATTACTTTGCCACAGAAATAAGTTAGCTCTTTATTTAGCATCATTTTTTTTTTTTGGCAGATACAAAATGCCAAATATTTTTTTGAGACAAGCTTATGATCAGAACTAACAATAAAATGAGCATTGAGAGCTGTAATGTCGCCCATTAGTACTTGATCATCTTACTTTCCATGTGATTTGAAAACATGCACTATGTTTCCTGTTTACCTGTGCAGCAGGTGGAATCCGCTTAGAGCCTCTTGAGGTTGTGGAAACAGGTGTTATGGTGTGAGATGGCAGTTTCACAGCAGCTTTATTCCTTGGGGTTTTACAGAGAGAGGAGGCTTTGAGAGAACCGAGAGGCTGTAGTGGAGAAGAGTTGGCTTCGATTGGAGAGATGGACAGAGAACGGAGAGGTGTAGCATTGGATCTCAAGTTGGTTATTAGTTTTTCGCCCGCTACAGAGAAAAATAAAATATAATTTACACAGCAGTTAGACAAGATGTTGTTTTTATACCAGGCTGTGCATTCAATAAATTTCAGTGATTCAGAGCCAGTAATTAACACAATTATTAATGCCCCTGAATTGCCCATAAAGTTTGCAAATAAACATCTTAATTGACAGACATACATTTATACAAATACAAATAACTAATTTAAGGCACTTTAATTCTTACATCTCATCTTCTCAACGGAGGGAGGTGAGGCGAATGTGGAAGATAATCTTGCAGCCCAAGATTCCTTCTGTCTTCTGACTGACCCCTGAGCAGATGACGTCTTCTTCACTGTAAGATGCTCTGGACTACACATCTTCTTGCCTTTATCATTCCTCTGACCTCCCAGAATCTTTGCAAAGCCTTTATCTGCCTTTTTCTGTACGTTCTTCTCATTTTGTAGTTTGGCTATGTCTACAGAGGTTTTCTCTCTCTTTTCTCCTTGTTCTGTGGCTCGAGCTGGGACAGTCTGCTGAAGCGTGGCTGCTCGCCCAACTGCTTTTTTCTATTCAGAAAAGACAAAGAAATAAAGCTCATCAGGACCATTATCATTAGTCTGTCTAGACCCTGAAGATCTTAAATAAAGGCATTTACAACTACAGAAGATCCCAGTGATCTGACTGTGCTGAATACCACATGCCTTAGGGGGTGGTGCTTTTTCGCTCTCTGACAGACTGGACTGGTTGTCTGAGTCAGACGTCTCTCTGTAGGTTCTGGTCAAGGCTGCAGCTCTTTGAGGTCGTCCTGTGGCTTTCTTATTATTGATGCTTGGCTGCCTTTTATCCTCCTGTTCAGCCATTTTCTTCTGTCTCTTCTATTATTCACCCAATTCAGTAGAAAAGTGAATAATTACTATAAATATGGCTATAAAAAATAGTCCACCTAACCAAACTAAGCTGCAAATGGTTAATTTGGAAATGATTCTGCTTATGACGTTACAACCATGAACAAGTTACCACATAACCAACCAATATTTACCAATTAACACCTAACCCCCCCCCATCACCTCCACCACCACCACCAAATAACAATATAAACGTGACAAAAAAGCTACAAATTGTAGAATATGGCACTTGTTCTTACCCGCTTTGGCTTGATTTGTTCTTTCACTGGTTTTGGCGAAGGTAAAGGTGTATATGGTGATTTAACTGAAACAAAATGAAAGTGTAAGAGATTAACGTACAGAAGGATGTGAAAAAGAGAGAGGGAAAGTAGTTATCAATAAATAGTGTGTAGTCCTTAAATAGATGCCACACATCTTCACTGTAGAGTTAACCTCTGCAGATGACAAACAAGAGTTCAAAACAACAGTTGGAGATGTAAGAGACTGGTGTAGCATACATGCAGTGTCAGCTGGTGGAAAGATGGGTTTAACCGGCTGCCTGCTGTAGTCTGCCACTTTGGGCTTGGGTTTCCTGTTGGCTGAGTATAACCAGCTAATCTCCGTCATGTTGTCTGTGTCCGTATCACTGAACAGCTTTTTCTTCTCATTTGCCTTGGCAGCCTAGATTATAACACAACCAAGTAAAAAAAAATGATTTTTTTGTGATAGGCATATGTTAAATCAACAAATGCATAAGTGTCCATCCGCAAATAATTAATGAAATGTGAAACCTTTGTAAGCCGACGTCTTTTAGCAGACTTGGAGAGAGTCTGAGGATTACTTGGTGGACTAAAAGAGAAAACGTAATATAAATATGCAATAAAATACATAATGTATTAACAAGCAGTCACATGTTCACAAATGCAGGATTTCTTTGGAGATTTTAACTGAGTATTATTGTATTGTTCAACACTAGAGGGGGCTGTTTTTATAAATTAACAGAATTACCTGCTTTCCACTCTGGATGTATTAGAGGATTTCTTTCTCTAAAAGGACAAAATTAAGAACTAATGAAGTTTATTATCATGTTTTTAAATATTATGATGTTTGCATTCAGAGCTATTGGTGTCCTTACCACACTAATTTTTGGTGTGTCTTCTGTAAATGCATAAACATCCCTGAGGAGACCAAACACAATAAATTCAATTATTTATAAAATATATTTCCAAAACAAAATATCCCGAGTTTAAGGGATTGAAGTCAGTAGAATGCAATACTCAAGCTGCTGGAACTCCTTGGCTTTGTCTTGTGTTTTGTGCAAACTTGAACTCTTGGCAGCAGTTTTCTCCTGTAACACAACGTGCAAGGGAAAAAAATGGTAAGTTTGCATCACATTTGTAACTACCCTGTTGAAAAAAACCAGCATATGCTGGTTAGGTATGTTTTAAAGCATGGCAGCTGGTTTGAGCTGGTTTAAGCTGGTCCTTCGTTGGTCTTGTGCTGGCCCTAAGCAACTAGCTCCTGCTCAGGATCAGCTCATAACCAGCTGCCATGCTTCAAAACATACCTAACCAGCATATGCTTTTTTGATGCTGTATTGATTTGACATTACAAATACTGTTTTCTTTCTAAATGACTTACAGTGGAGGATGGACAGCAGCTCTTATTGAGCAGATATCTGAAAGTGAAGGTAACAGTGTTATTCCATGTGAGGACAGAGGAAAAGGTAGGGCATGAATGAAAGGTCAGTCTGTGTCACCTGTTTGTAGACCCGATATTACACGGGCCTCCAGGTTCATGGGATGCTGCTTTGGCAGTTCTCTTATAATGACTGGATATAATTTTCACCATACCATCTGCAGCATGTGCCATCTTCAGAACAATAACAACAAATACAGTTTAATATAATAAACCTTGCTTTGTTTTCATTGATTTATAGGCTATTAATGAACAGGATAGTAGAGAGAGGACAGAAAATCATGGGGAGAAAGGAATGGGATTGGAACATCCCTGGTAAAAAAAAAGAAGTACACTTTAGCATACTTGAGTGTTTATAGGTATTACTGTATAACCGTAAAAAACGGAGTACACGCAGAGCTAGACAAGACGAGCATTTGAGGTTAAAAAGTATATAAATTGTGGAGAAGATTCCTGAAATGTTTTCCTCAAAAAACATAATTTCTTTACGACTGACAAAAGAAAGACATGAACATCTTGGATGACAAGGGGGTGAGTAAATTATCTGCAAATTTTTGTTCTGGAAGTGAACTTCTTTAAGTGCCACATCTCAATGTGCCTAGAACAAATCGACTCCAAATTCAAGTAATAGTAATACCTGCCTTATCAAACACTAATAATATTTGCTCTTTATAACTTAAAGACATCTATTCCAACTAAAAGAGTCTCACATTGTCATGGTCTGATGTGTCGCCCTGAATTTCACTACTCTTCCTTCTCTGTTGTGCAGGTCTAGCAGGCATGGACTTCACTGACTTCTCCATATTTTCTTTCTCTTGACCTGCAGTCCTGGGCTCCAGTGAGGAGCCTCTCTGGGCTGTACGGCCATCTGTACCCTGCTGCTCCCTCACCACCTCCTCCAATCTCTGAGTGAGCTGGGTGTGCAGCTGCTTGTGGGTCAGGGCTCTGGATGCACACTGTGCCGGGGACAGACGCTGAGGAGGGGGATGAGAACTACCATCTGGAGATGATTACACAGAATGCAAGGTTACACAAAGCCACCTGATTCATATAGTGACAAACTATCAAGAGCAGTGTTTCCTAAATTCAAGATTTGAAGCAGGGAAATTAAGTAAACAATCTGACAGATTCAGTGAGTAAATAATTAGACTGATTCAGTGTTTAACTGATTCAGGATAAAAATAAAAAAAAGAGTAATTCTTTCATGAACTGGATTACACTTGCCTCCCTGAATAGTAGTGCAAAGAATAAAACATAACCAATGGGGGAGTAATAATGAGAGTAAATGATTATATTTTATTATGTGAGAATGAGACTGCACAGTGATAAGAGACCTGAAACTAGCACAGCTATGTAGGAAACTGGTTCAAATAGTCAATTATAGTATAGATGTCATAATAATACAAAAATATTTTACTACGGAATGCCGGGATTGACCAATCACAATTATGTATTCAAGAGTCACGTATTGTAGTTTATTCTTTGCTGATAAAACATACCTTACATATCTGTTAACTCACCTGATATAGTGCCGTTTTTAGAGCAATCTTTTTGCAGAGCCAGCAGTGATCCAGATACAGAGATTCTCCTTTTACTAGAGTTCAAGCTCCAGATAGCAGGTGAACTGATCAGTAAAATGTAGAAGATAGACATCCAAGCATACATTATATTGTGAGCAGACAGAATCCTCTCTAAAATGGACGTAATGTTAAACAATTAGGAAATGGTAATCAAAATGCTAATAATAATACACTCACAATGAGCTTTCCTTTCTCACAGGTTGGGAGTCTGGGACTATGCTGTTATCTTTTACACAAAGAAACAAAATAAAGTTAAAAGCATTCAAATATGTTCACATCGGCAATGGAATTTTCCTTAGTATGCTTCATATAATACCAAAAGTGTCCTCTTCATGGTCAGCTTGCACCATCTGTACTACTTTGTCTATAGGAATGTGCTGCAAAAAATATAGTTTTTTATAGGGTTATATAAGCCAATAAGAGAAAAAAGAAGGTAGCAAAAACAGAAAACGAAATATACTAATATGTCTAATATAGTTTAATATATATAACTAAACTAATATATATATATGAATTAAGAGCACCTTGTGGTACTTCTTTTCTTTAGCCTTTATGCCCTGGATTTTCTGTCGGTCTTCATTATGAGCAGCAGAGGTCGACTAACAAGACAAACAGAATTCACTGAGATTGCATCCATTAAGCTGTTCTTTACAAATCAGTAAAGACTAATCAGTATATTGCTTCATTAATGTAACAGTGTTTCATAAACGCTATTCTCCATTTGTTTTCATCAGTATGAACAGGGGTGCACATAAGTGGTCCGCATGTGCGACCAAAATAAGAAATGCATTGTGTAAATTAGTTCAGAGCGCGCGTTTGCGTACCTACATGGTTGACAGCTGTTAATGCACAATTAC